GCTAGATTCCATCCTGAACTGATCAATGATCCAATAGTAGTAAAGGCTGCTAAGGCACATGACACAAGTGTACCGGTGAGAAATTTTTAGATCTTAATGAAATTAACACTGAATTTAAGCAGTAGTATGAAATATTTGTTTCACGTGTATTTACTGATAGCTTTACTTTGAAGATGGTACTTTTGGCTTGGCCCTTAAACATTGGTGTCGGGATAGTTCCAAAGTCTTCAAATCCTGATAGAGTGATTGAAAACATCAAGGTAATTTTACTGTTTCTTTCGCACTTCGCTCAAAAATAATCTTAATGAGTTTCTACTTTTTATTTGCAACGAGATTTGTCACGGTTAAGTTTATGGTTATTCAGTTGCTTTGAAGAGTATTTTGCTTTTGCACGCAGTTTCGTGAATGGGCTACCAGTAGTGGTAGGTGTTTTCTTACAGTCGGCTGTGAACTTGCTTTATCTTTGCAATGGGTATAGTTGGTTGATCACCAAATCCACTAAATTTGCAGTAGTATGGAGCTTCCGGCGCTTTTCAGTAACTGATTCAACTGTTATTGTGCGCTTCCTTTTGACTAAAGTGGCGATGTTTTAGGTTGCAGACATCAAGCTTACAGAAGATGAGGTGAAGGAATTTTCACGATTGAATAAGGACAAGCACTATATTAGGTGTGACGGGTGGAATGTTTTGTAATTGCTTTTAATCCTTAATTGTTGTTTTAGGAATAGCAGGTAATTGTGAATTTTCCTAATATAAATTTACCTCACGTATTTAATGGGTGGAAACTTGCTTGTTTTTTTTTTTGAACATGTCTGTATCATAACGAATAACTGCTCAATAAATTATATGCTCTGTTGCTTGTTAGAGTTGCAGTAACCTGAAGAGCGTTTCAAATAATTCCGGAGGAAAACGTTACCAATTTAGTTCAACCAGGAATGGGCAGATTTTCAGCTTTTTTGACTAAGTTTGTAATACTGTCCACTTCAATTTCACAAGAAAGGGTTTGACAGACGACCAGTTTTGTTGTGTTTTTGCAGACAGGTTGTTTCGTCATTGCACTTTTTCTATACGCTCGGGTCCATTGCAGGAGCAGAAGACATTATCACCATAATTTTCATGATGCTGGCAAGACAGGGTAGTACTGATAGTGTGACCACCACCGATTGCTTCTGTACCAGTTTGTCATTTTGTGGCCCGCACGCAGAAAAGATATTGTTCAAAATCGCTAGGGTATTGCAGTTACCATCGTATTTTAATGATCACCAATCACAGGAAACGCCGTTTATCGGCGTATGAAGATTGGGCTGAATAGATAAAATGGAACATTTTGTCAAGCACTTGGTTGTTATTTAATTGTGTAATTATTTTACAACAGATGAAAAAAATAATTTTTTGTCTTTTAAACGCTGGTGGAGCAAGCTTTGTTTTGAAAAATAAATTTTTGTGACGGTATAAGAGGATTAAGCTAAGTAAGGAAGAAAACGGTCACGCGGAAATGAACATCAAAATTGTTTTCGAAATGTTTATATGGTTTATTTATGGGTTTATATAGTCATTAAATAAAGGAAACGGTGAAAAATGAAGGACCATCATTTGGAAGACTATTGTTCAAGGTAAACGCATTGTTTTTTAATTTACAAGTTACTAATCGTTACACAAAGAAGGATCTTGTAGCTTTAAACAAACTGGAATAATGGCTGCTAACATTCACCTTAAACGGTCAAGTTGTTACTTGCGATTAACGAATAATTATCTGAAACTGATTTATAACGGAAAACTATTTATCAGTATAATTGAAAAAATTTGAAGACACTGAATGTGTTATTTTCTCAATTTTATTTTCCATAGCTTTTAAAAAATAATTTCTACATTTGGCGCATCACTCCTAATATTTTATTCCTGGCAATAGCGACATTTAAACCAGCAACCGTAGAAGGAATTTTGCTACAGTTCAGTTATCAAAACTTTGCTACATTCAAATACACAATAAAAAAGTGTAGTAAGCTGAAACATACCCGTTTATTATACCAGGATGGATCACACCAAGTAGATTTTTGAGGGTCGCCGGAAAGGACAGATAAACACACTCGATCACCTAGCAGTTGTGCCAAGAAAGGATCAATGGCAGTGTTGAAGGAAAAACCAAGTAAGAAGAACAACAGCAAAAGGGTGGCTCGGAGAAACATCAGGGTAAGACTACACGCACAATTTCGAAATACTTTATTTTTAAATTTTTATACTCTGCAAGAATAGTAATTCCTTGTTAAAAAAATTTGCTCCTTTTTTACCGTCAATTCCACTGTCTCATATTCTAGACAGCATGGACATTGATACGTACATTTCACTCTTATAGAGCCCATATGTCATTATAAACTGCTGGCTCTTAAAAAAAAAGTAATCAATAACAGTTTTGTTCTGAAGTTTATTTCTTTTTGGGTAATTCCTACTCAGCTAATTATTATGTAAGCTAGTGACAACAGAGTTTTTTCTAAGAACAAAAAGACTTCTAACAGAACCAATTATTCAACGGAAATGGTGCAGCGAAAACGTGAGGGAAGAGTGGTATACTGGACGACCACGGCAACTGAGTACATTGTTCCAGAAATAATTTTTTATCATTCGACCATTTTGTGGGAGAATTTGGGTTTCTGGACTCTACGGCGGAAACGCTCATAATTGACAAAAAAAGTAAATGAATACTAGACAGAACATGTTTGCACGTCGCTGCTGCTTTTCCAACTCATCTGCTGAAAGCTGCAGTCGGCTGCTAAAATCGTAACAAGAAGCATTTTTTGAAAGACATTTTAATATACTTGGTGGCCAACCAGGTAATGCAGCACTGTTTTGCCATTCTTTATTGAACATCTTCAGATGAAGTTCATCAACTTGAAATCGTCGTCGAAATTTTTTCAAAAAATTAGTGCATTTTTCTACCGTCATAATTGATATATTGTATCAGAGAACTAAAGTTAAATGAAAGCCAAGAACAACTCCTGTAGACTTTCACTATTTCGATAATGTGAAGTCATAAGCAGACAGTAATAGGGATTTTTTTGGCATTACGGAAGTTACTGAATACGTTTTACACATCACTTGACTAAAGAAACTGCTGTTATGGGCGATTACGTAACAGTATTCTTGTATATATAATATAACAGCAAAACAAAAAAGTGATTAAGAATTCTCGTTAGTTTTTTATAAGGTAAAGACGACTTTAATTAGTCGAATTCCCTAGTGTTCTGTTTTCTAAAACTGATGTTTTAGAAGAATTTTCCAACAAATTAAGACAGAACTGAGAAATACAGCATGAAAACGATTTCGAGTTATGAAGTGATTAAACTAAACGGTAAAATTTAATTTTAGTGCTCAGAAGTACAAAATCTTAAGGTGGCTTGATCAGAACAGCACAGACTGCGGCAACCTCTACCACTTTCCATTAATGATAGGGAACCCAGAAATTTTGACTGTGTTATACGAAAATATCAGTCTGATCACCAGAAAAAACTTTTTGCTTACAAAAAATGAGATACAGTCAACTGGCTAGACACAGTCAGAACTGTTTAAGGAACATGAATGACTTAAAATTACAGATCATACAATAGGTTTATTTTGAACTTTACCGTAAGGAACTTGATCATATTTTAACTGAAAAAATTAGGTAGAAAGACCAAGATAGCGCTCTACCAGATGTTAGACTACTGGCAATGATCTGCAGTTCAAAAATCAATCAGTAATTGCTACTTTAAAGGATACAAGTCGTAGCTAACAACAATCAGTGTATCAATGAAACTTCCTCTGGGGTTGACGCATTATTAATTGCCTACTATTGCTTCTGATTACTTCAGTGTATCTGTCGTACTTTACTTTTTTTTATTTACATCCTTTTGTTATTTTTTTTTACATACTGAACTGCAGTCATGGTTTCAGATCCACTGAACTTTTAATCTTAGTCATTGGTCAAATACTGTAAAATAAAATATTTTAATTTTTTATCAACTTACGGAACTCTGATAAGAATTTTTTGTAAAGATATGTCATTTGGTTCAAAAAATCTATACAGACTAACGTTTTGAGGAAACCAAGTTATGGCAAATGATAGCGGTCCATCAACAACAGTAAACTTTAACAACGATCAGGTAGTAGTACTAGACGAATTGGAAACTTCTTCGCTTACTAGTAGTATCGAGCTAAAGGTAAATTTGAAGTTTTTTATCAACAATTAGTTTCGCTTGTTTGTCATTAAGAAGAACTCTTTTGCTATTTTAGGATGCTATCATAGACAGTAGTTGGTTTGGACCGGCTGATATACATTCCAAAAAGCCTACTGGCGTCAAGTGGGCAAAAAGAGTTCTAGAAGCGGAAGCTCGAGGTACCGGTGAAACTGAATTACCATCACGGTCCTTTTTTTACAGATGGTGGCAATCATGGCAAGATAAAGTTCTACTTAAACGACTTGTAGGCATTTTGTTCATTATATTATGCCATGTGAAAGTGTTTTTGATGATACTTTTTTTTTTTTTGCTAAAGATGGTTTGGGTATTTGGCTCAGTTTAATTGAGTTAAGGTTTCTTCTAGCAAAAACAATAAATTTTACTGCTTCTTTTTTTGGTTAATACGGAAAATTTTTGCAGGACGCATATGATTTGGATGAAGCTAAAACTTTTGTGGCACAAAAACTGTTTAAAGTTGATAATATCATATGCGATCAACAAACAAAATTGCTGCTAATTGAAAAAATGGTTCTTTGCCCAACAGCGAAGTCTTCGAGTGCTGAATATGAACAACTAAAGGCTAAATACGGGTATTTTTGTTATTTCTATGCAGAACAGCTTTTAATTGAAATACTTTAATGCGGTAGTTGGCCATTATTTTGCAGGTTATTTTTTTTTTTTTTTTTTTTTGTCAAATACTAAAGTTCTGGCTGGAAATGTTTACATGAGAAAGGTTTGCCTTTCTGAGCAGTATGTGTTTCAGAGTTCGACTGGCTGATTGGTTAAAAGATCGTTTGGTGCCGTATGTTAACGATACGGGAAATGTTATACAAAGTGCTTTGCAAGATTTTAATTCTTTGAAACGTGTAAGAAAGTTGTTTTTGTCCATTTTAGTTGTTTTACAATGTTAGTGCGGTAAGCTATTGTCTTGGGGGTTTCTATTACATGATGTCAGTTTTTTGGAGGTTTAATGAGCCAAGTTCATGGTGCTTTGGTCTTCTATGTATGCTGCTGTTTCAGCTCGATCCGCTATGCAACTGGTATCGATTAAATTCGGAATCGTGTGCTCGAATGTTAGAACGGGTTCAAAATTTAGCTGGTGTAATGGCTGGGATGGTTCGATATTCTCTTCTGTTAGAACCGGGTACTATAACGCCACATCTAACGGTAACCTTACTTTACTTCAGTTTTAAATGTATTAACTGCAAGGCTGGTATTGACGGTCTTCACGCCTCAGACAAATTAGGGTTTTGCTCCCATCAGAAAAAAAATTGGTGGGTGAGTGACGAAGAAGAACTTTTTTAGGCTTATGCCGCCGAGTTCCATCAGCTGAAAACATTTTTTGAGCGAAATGAAATGACTACAGCTGAAGCTGCTCAAACAGCATTCTCGTCCAATTATCTCACCAAGGCTAGAAATAAATGTGATTCTTCCCTTCATAAATGTTTTTTCAAAAACACTGAAGGTTCCACTTGTTTAGTTTTAGAGGCTTCGAAGTTCTTACAGTATCATGGTTGTGTAAGTTTCGATCAAAAACAATCTCCTGAACAAAATGGGTAAAAAATTTGCAGTTATTGAATGTGCTGACTCATCACGCGTCATTCTGCAACCGATGGAAACGGTTGACATCTCAACATTTGAACGACCTTTTGACGACGAAGAAGGAGGGCCTCATTCACCGCTATTTTCGGATGTCGATGATGTGCCGCCGTTGCTCAGGACAATCTCACCCTAGTACTGCAGTTTTTCTTCATATTTGACCATAGTCAATGGAAAGACAGTTACTCTTTCCAAATATCAGTTTCAATTTTGCAGCGGGACAGCAGATTTCATCCATGCTTCTTACGTTCGTGGTGGTCCATTACTGAACATCTTTATATGCACACAAGCACCAATGTCATCAACGCTGGTCGATTTTTGGCATATGGTTTGGCAAGAAAATTCACAATTAATTATCATGCTTTGTAGCGCCGTAGAAGATGATCAGCTTGGACTCCTTGACTCGTCGATGCCTATCTGTTGTCCGTATTATTGGCCAAAGTTAATTTGTTTACAGTTCTGCATGACAGCCATATAAATCTTACGGCAAAAAGTTCACAAAGCAATGAGTTTAAAGCTGAATTGTAGGCTTGAGGGAACCGAAATGCAGTGTGGCAGTTTCGTAATACGAAACGAAAGAATTGATGGAACTGCTGATCCGTTGTTTACTGTTACGCATCTGTTACTGAGTCGTCTGGATGACGGAAAAAACGAAGTTCATCGGATTGAGCATTGGCAATACGACTGGAGAGATTTCTGCGACGTTCACTGGCCATTACGCGTTCTTCGAAAGTAGTGCTTTCTAGAACTTGTTAAGATTTATATAACTGTCTTGTTGAAAGATGTGATGACCATTATTGGTGAATTTGTGGACAGCTGATCAGCCAATAACTTTTAGGGCTCGTCTTTCACCACATCCAACAATTGTCCAGTGTCTTGATGGTTGTTCACGATCTGGTACATTGGTGACAATTGAAGCATTGTTGATGCATCTGCTACGTGGGTCGGCTAACTATGATAAACTGGTGCTAACAACGGCACTATTTGTACGACTGCAACGTCGACATGCTATTGGTACACCGTTACAATATTTGTATATATACCGTGTTTTACTACACTGGATGCAACCGTATATTACCTCATACGTACATCGATTTTATTTGGGTTTGATATTCCCAAAATGGGGATTTATTGGCAAATACAATAAGTTGATACTTAAACGTTTGCCAAAATAATGTTGTTGTCGGTTGACCAAAACAAAGCGAAAAAGGAAAGAAAAAGGAGGGTCGGAAAAGAGGATAGAATTATTTTGAAAGCCTATTCTATTTTTCATTCTTTTGTCCTGTTTTTATTCACTAA